ATTATTTTTTTGAATAATTAGTTTGATTTGGAGGAAATTATACAAAGTACTAAATCTAAATTGATTTTCTGGCTAATGTATTCAATCTTATATAAATTCTCCAAAATGAATCCATTGCAAATTAATTTAGATTTTTTTTTAATTAATTTAATACAGTCACTTCAAAGCTCAAACCTAGCTAGTTTAATTTGAGATTATAAGCTTAATTTTATTCTTCTTCTATGTGTTTCGAACAATAAAAAAGAAGGCTGGTTCGAATCCAACAGGTCGGATATTTTTTCTTATTAACCATCATTGGGTAGTTTGATAATAAAAAAGCAAAAATAGTTCTATGAGCTTCTCATGAGTTTGAGTCCCCTAAACACTAATAGGAGTGGTCATTAAGACTTTTACCTTATTGACAGTTCTAGAGCTCTAAATAATTAATTGAGGTACACGTAAGCTGATCCGAATACTCTCGATGAAAAAAAAAAAATAAATAAGACTTGAAGTTGAGTAACTAGTTACAATAATTTTGGGCCTCATGACCAAAGAAAATACAAAATCTAATATATTAAATAATGCCATTATTTTATTTAAGAAATCTATATAAGATATGTTGGCGAATATTCAGATCCTAAAAATCCCAATTTAAATGATAAAATTGAATAATCGTTTTCAAAACCAATGTGCCAGATAATTCCTTTGTAGTTTGTCCCGCTCTCCTGCTGATATATTTTAAATGCTTTATCGACCTCTTAATTAATAACAGAATATTCATTGCAACATTATTTTATGCACCGACAGCTTCAAGCCAAGTTAATCGTGGCCACAGTTGAGCATCAAGCATCCAGAATAATAAAGTATATTTGCAGTTGTAATTTTGGCTCTACATGGTATGAAATTGAGAGAGAAAATCTTAAATTTAACATATAAATAATGATTGATTTATATGCTTCTTTTTTTTTATCTTTTAATTTGATAGGCACCCAAAATTTTTTAGCAATAATAAAAAAAATCTTCTTTTAAAAACTATTAAAATAAATAGAGATTTTTAGTTAATTTTTAAAAAGTTTAAACATGCTTCAAATTAAATAATTCTACGATAGATGTATAAAATTAATCTATCAACAATGACAATAAGAGAAGGGAAAAAAAAATTTGTTTAGGTTAAGTGATTATCGATTCTACATTGCTTACGCAATAAGTGTTCAACAAAATTTAAACAGGTGATCATGTTGGTGAGATGTTGTGCTAATCACCTACAGTGATTAATCGAAGTACATGTAAACTGGCTCGGACACCATGTTTAAAAAAAAAAAAAATTAGCGATCTCTACAAAGAAAGACATATATAACTTGATTTATTTTAGTTGAAAAGTATAACATATGTAGTTAATATTAGGGGTGTTCGGTTCCGAGTACCCTGCACTTTTTGAAGGATCCGAAACCAATGGTTCCTTGAAATTTGGAATCAGAACCGGAACCGACGATTCCGATTCTTAGGTACCCAGAACCAGAACCTGTAACAACGGTTCCGGTTCTGGTTCTGGGTATCCTATAAAATTTATGACCCCCCAAAAGTTTTTAAAATGACAAAAAAACCCTTAAAAACTTACAAATACCCCCCACCTGACACGTGTTAACAAAAATAAAATTACAAATTATAAATTCAAAATTCAAAATTACAAACTTCATTACTTTGTAAAGGTAGATTCTCAAAAGTCAAACCAATTTACTTTAAATGTTATGAAATATAAGTATAAATGTATTCACATCACTTTTTCTACAAAAGTTTTTACTAACCCCCCTAATCTTTAATTTTATTTTATATTAATCTCGATTTCTGGTTCTTAGTTCTGGTTTCAGTTCCTAACTATAGGAACCGGAACCGTACAGTAACGGTTCCAAAAATTTGGAACGGGAATCTACCCGTTAACGATTGGTTCTAGGTAGGAATCGGAACCAAACCCTAGATACCCGTCGGTTCTGATTCCAACCGGTTCTTTTGAACACCCCTAGTTAATATAATTTTAAAAAAAAAAAATTGCTTTTAAAAGTATTCTATATGAAGAATCTAATTTAACTCGTTGCTTTTGATTTTTGAAGATTTAATTAGCATTTGAACTCGTGGGCCTTTTAACCTGTTTGACCATTTTGTTTCTACTGTTATTTTTTTCATTTCAAAATAATTAAATTTGGATTTACTTTGCTGTTTATCTATTATTCAGTAATGAAGCAAGAAGATATAAAAAAAAAAGAAATTAAAAAAAATCTCTTATTTACAAAATTACCTAGACATTATTAACATATAGAATTATATTATTGAACTTAATTAATCTGCATTAGAATTAGCATATTGGGCTAACAATATATGAATAGGATGGCGATCCCTGCACGTGATGGATCTGTAAGTTTCAATGGCTAAGACTTGGAAAATATTACATTATAGACATCTGATGGGGGGCTCCCTTGAAGAAGGGGATTGTTTTGCTTTTGGCAAACGTGTTAATTGTGCCCTTTTACATCTTAATTATATAATTAGACGCTCTGTAGTATACGATACTCCATTAATGTGTCCCTTTGTCATTGTTTGATTCAATCTCATTTTATAAAATTCAGATTACAATTTAGGGTTTATGATATTAATTATTAACAATCAAATTTCTTAAATAAAAGATAGATTAGATTAGGCTTGAGAGGAGTCCAAGTCCAATAATAGGGAATATATATAAAAAAAAAAAAAATGGATTCAAGATCTAACATCACAGCGGATTTCATGGTACTGGTACACATCTCTTCAACAACTTCTATAATTCAATAACATTCTCTTTCTTCATTTTATATCACCAAACACAGAGTTGGAATAAATAAAGAAAAGAAAGAACATCGCCATTCTATACACGCATTTGTGGGGCAGATGGGGAATCTATGCATTGGATTAGCTATGTCGTATCTGGTCGGACGAACACATGAAATTATATCTTCCTCCTCATCTCGAAACTATGCATTTTCTTTTATATAACATGTAATTTGTAGCAAATATTAATATTGAATGAAAATTATAATAAAATTTAAGGGTTTTAGTTGTTGTATGGGAGAGAGTGAGGTTTGGATACGAAGCGGAGGGTGAGGAAGAATCAATTATGCAGAAGGAAGATCCGAATGCATGAAGCCAAAAGCAGTTGGATAACCAAATAATATTATTGAATAGTTTTGTACATATCCCATGTACATTTGTATATTCAAATATTTATATATGTAAGTTTGAAACAGTGGATTAGATAAAGATTGGTTATGGGTCACCTGATCTGTAGCAAATTCTTGCTGCAAAATTATCAGAGTCAACTGCCCTAATGCCTATATATGATTCGATTCCAACTTGGAATGATTAAAACCCTAATTCTTGCCTTTGAAAATATTAATCTGAGGAAGCAATATTGCATGGTGAGTGGATACATTGCGGTTTGGGCAATATTCTGAATTATTTGGGTAGACAAGAAGAGTTATTGTGTTATATCAATTAACAGAAATGAATCCCATTCAATTATAATTTGCGTATCAGATATTCATATCTATATATTATTTGCTCATTTTCATTATCATTCCTTGTCTATTCCATACAATGATAGTTAAATTTCGATCATTAGAAAATAATAATAATAATAATAATAATCTTTATACTATATGGATACAGTATTTAACGTGTTACATATAATAACAGAGATATATTTAATTTAAGAGAAATCATATGCATACATGGTTGTTCAAATTAAAATAAAACATATTATATAAGAATGTTAAAAAAGTTTTTATAAATTCCCAAAATGGTTGAACATGCTACAAAGTTTGAGTTTAGGTTGAAGCAATGGATGAGTTTAAAAATTTCCCCTACAATCATTGTAAACTTTTATTATAATTTATGAAAAATTACCTTCTTCATATAACAAAACTTTACCTAATTAATCTTAAAGAATTGGCGTGATGGTCAAAGACATTTATTATCTTCGTTAACTTCTCAGGTTCAAAATTTGGACATCACTACCACTTGTGATTTACTTAATCTTTTAAGTTTGTAAGATATTCAAGAACCTTATGATAGTTAAGAATACATAAATTGGTTCGATATCCCACTTAAAAAAAAAAAAAAAAAAAAAAAATTACCTAAACTACTTCATAATCAATTATACAAATACAAACTAAAAAACATAATATAATGTCACGTAGACATATTAAATTTTAATTAATTTGAAATGTAAGTAGTAGGGACAGAAGTAGAGAGGGCACTCAAACTTTTTGGGATGATGGATGGGTCCTACATTGTGACAGGTATCACGGACGCTCCATATTCTCTCTCTTGGGAAACGTATTTCATCTTCTCTCTCTCACAGGCTCCATCCTTTCTCTCACCATCCTCTCTCCTCTTAAATCTTAATTATGTTTTAATCATTTTTTACCCCCTCTTCTTTTTTTACTTTCAAATCCCTCATCATTATATAATATTTAAATTCACTTAATTCATTTTTATCACAAGTTAAGAGCACCACATATTTGTTGATGGGTTTCAAAAAGGTTTTAACTAATTTTAGGAATGGGTCATTTTCTTATACTACTATTCAACAATTTTTATTATTCTAATTAAACGTTTTATGCAAAAACAGCTTTTCAAAAGTGTTTTTTTAAAAGTGATTTCTCGAAGTTGAAATAATTGGACTTTGGGCTGAAAAGGCTACACAGAACAGAACACACAATCCTACACATTCTGGTTACACGAGCAGCTGCTTACTGCTGTCTCACACAATGAAACGTTTCCCACAATCGCTCACCACTGCGCGCGTGTGCATTAGATTTTATATATTAAGAGAGGTGGGTCCACGTAAATCAATGGCTGACCGACTTTGTGGATACGAGTAAGATAAAAAGGGGGAAGGTATGATGTAAGAGGAAGACCAAGATTTCTATGAGAAAAAGAGTTCAGAAAAAAAAATATATATATATACATTAATAATTATAAGAGAGATGAGATATTATTCTCTTTCGGTCATTATGGTTTTTGGTTTTTTCTTTTGAAATCAAAGTATCAAACGACCTAAAACCAAACTAGATCTCTGAAAGAGAGAAGAGTCCGAAAGTTTTTATACTATATTGTTTTTGTTTTTGTGGGTTTGGGTTTGTTCTTAGATCAAAGCTTTTCTTGTCTTTTGGCAGAATCAGAGAGTGATCAGTTTTTGAATACACCAAAGATTAATTTATCTGCTTCTGTTTGGAGAAAGGGAAAACGCTTTGTTTTTGTTTGTATTGTGTTTTTGAGTGTTTTCGAAAGCTAGTTGTTTTGTTGCAACTAATTTCACAAGCCACCAGTTTTAATTTCTTTCAATCCATATGCAAATGATGTCTGGTAATGCTTTTTCAATACCCTCTTCCTTTGGAGGGTTTCCTCCTCAAGTTCAAGTTCAAGAACAAACTACCAACCCTACTGCTAAACCTAATCCTAATCCAGCTGCCAAAAAGAAGAGAAATCTCCCAGGAACACCAGGTAAGCAAAGTTTTAAAGGCTTTCTTTTACTCGTTATAGTTTTGTTTATAGCTTCGAGTTCAGTTGATTACTGTTTTGATGGCGTTTTCTTTGTGTTATTAGATCCAGATGCTGAGGTTATTGCTCTTTCTCCCAAGACGCTCATGGCGACCAACCGTTTCATATGTGAAATATGCAATAAAGGGTTTCAAAGAGACCAGAATTTACAGCTTCACAGAAGAGGTCACAATCTTCCATGGAAACTCAGACAAAGGACCAACAAAGAGGTTAAAAAGAAGGTTTATATTTGCCCAGAGAAGACCTGTATTCACCATGATCCATCAAGAGCTCTCGGTGACCTCACCGGTATTAAAAAACATTTCAGTAGAAAACATGGAGAGAAGAAGTGGAAGTGTGAGAAATGTTCCAAGAAATATGCAGTTCAATCCGACTGGAAAGCTCACTCTAAAACTTGTGGTACTAGAGAATATAAATGCGACTGTGGCACATTATTTTCCAGGTATTTTATTGTTTTGTTTCGAATCTTTTACGTTGTAGAGAAGAAATAAATGCTCACTTATAGGGTTTCATGTCGTTTTTGGTTTGAATTTAATGTGATCAAATGTTTACGTAACATACAAACAACTGAGATTTTGATTTAATTATATATACTATACTGAATTGAAGGAGTTCTTTTAATTAATTCTACAGAAAAGATAGCTTCATTACCCACAGAGCTTTCTGTGACGCCTTAGCTGAAGAGAGTGCAAGGCTCACTTCAGTTGCAGCCACGAATCTGAATTTCAGAAATGATACCGTGAATATGTCTCATGGATTTGCCAACCAGGGACTACAAGCTGACGTTGCAGGAGTCTCCCAATTTGGATCTGGTTTTCGATCCGATTTGGCTACACCAGGTAATTAACTCTTTTTGGCACTTATTATTCAATAAATTCTTAGGTTATGGCTATAGATAAATTAAGTTGCTAATTAAGTTTATTTTTCGTCTGAGTTGCATAGGTTTGTCTGAAATGGTGCAAATGGCATCAGGTAATCTATTTGGCTCATCTTCAATGTCTAATTTTGGAAGTCAGAACCAGCTTCAAGGATTGGACAAGAGCAATATTGCAACAAGTTCAAAAAATTCAAATCTCTCTTTATCAGCAATCCCACATGGACTAAAAGAAGAAAGATCCTCTCTTTATTCTGATTCACAAAATAAGCAATCGAAACCAGTTGCGCCCATGTCAGCCACTGCACTCTTGCAGAAAGCAGCTCAAATGGGTTCTACAAGAAGCAATCCACCACTCTTTGGAAACAGTTTCAATATCATAACCTCATCTTCTTCAAACACAAGCAACTTCAACTCTCTCAATCAGAACAGAAGCGAACTGCAACAAGTCTTTCAAAACGTTAAGCAACCAGATAATAATTTTTCGGGCACTGTGTCTTTAGCCATGAGCGATGGAGTAATGGGTAGTTCAAGTTCAAATTTGAAGCTGCATCAAGGTTCAAATCCAATGGAGAATAGTCTTACAAGAGATTTCCTCGGCATGGGTAGTGATCAATCTGGCCGTCCATTTTTTTCACAAGAACTGGCAAAGTTTGCTTCAATGGGTTCCCCAATGGGTTTGAGCCAATTCACCAGCAACCACTGAAGTCAATTTCATATCGAACCCATATGTTATTTTCACCCAAATGCACCTAGCTCATGTAAAAACGTCTCAAACATGAAGCGCTAGCAATCTATAAAGCAACTTGTGAATGATGAGTGGGGCTCGGAGGTCGGGGCCAGTGCATATTTGAAGTGACAAAACAATGAACGAACTCCAAGTCATGCATGTTCTCGTTGTTGTTCTCCTTGTTTGTTTCTTCTGTCTCAACTCTTTTATCGTATTTTGGTTTGGCCTTCTTTCGTTTTTTGAAATTGAACAGCTAGCACGGAAAACTACGTGATTTAAATATTATACTACATAGTTGACTGCCCGTCAAAGTTAAGCACCCATCTCGTCAACGTTGGTGGGTTAACAAGAAAATTCCAAGTCATTGTTCGTCTACCCTAAAAAACTGTTTAAGCCAACTAAAACCATTATTTTTTTCCTTCTATTTTATGATAAACTGAAGGCGAGAAGGGTTTACACGTCTCTTGGCTTTTATTATGTTAAGATTAAATTCGTAATGCTATGTTCTATCAAAACTAGCCAGAATCTAGGTATGATGAACGAACATTGTGAGGTACAGAGTAATTTACGGGCGAAGGGATGATGATAGCCGTCTGATTTGTCAAAAGGGTTGGATGGGATTGCAAAATCATGGAATCATCCGAAAGAACATTGCATTTTGATGGGATTGATGGCCAATTCCTAGGACCCTATAGTTTTACTTTCTGTGGCAAGTTTTCTAGGTTTTCTGGTTCTTGAAGCTTGCTTGGGAAATTTTATCACATGGGCTGAGTCAATTGAGACCCTTTACCTCTGATTCCCAAAAGTTAGAAGTTAAACACCGTCACATTTCATCTAAGTGTTCTTCAAAGTCAATCAACTCAACTATAATAATCTCTTTAACCAAAGCAAATCTTAATGTTGATAGCCTTTGGAGAAATATGAAGCTACGAAAGTTAGGCTTGACTTGGAATTCTTTCTCAATATATGAGCCCTTCTTTTTTAAAGACAAGAAGTTCAAGTTTCCAATGTGGATCGTTGGAAAATGCATGAACAACGCCGTAAACTGCATGAACGCCGTTCATTTGATCTTGTTGCTGACTGCTGAGTTTGAGTATACGTTTCTGACCAAACCCAGTTTTCTTTTATCAGTGAAGCAGAAAAAATAAAAAAAAGCCTAGCTTTGGGGGTGTCAGTACAGCGGGGACCCTAAATTTAGGAAAAAGGCAACAGTACCCTCCTAGTGTAGGGCAGTGGTACTGGTGTGGTGTCCCTAACAAACCGTTTGTGGAACAGTTTTTGACTTTGAATGGCCTTTTCATTATTGAGAAGGGGAGAAGGTAAACCCAATGGCTATGCAGACAAGACAAGTACCCTTCGGATAAACAAAGAGAGTTGTAGTAGTATAATAATATAATATATGAGGGGTTAATTAAAAAAAAAAATAGAAACTTTTTAGTAATGAGTTTCACCTTTTTATTGGAACTTGAGGCGATCGACCAGCTTTTTGAGACCTGGGTCGGGCTCTATCTTTGAAGTTAGAGCTGTTCCAAGTAACAATTTCATCATTTTTCACAACATGTTACACACACAATTTGATTATACCATAAATTAATTATATTTTAAAATTCCTCATATCAGTATTTGTAATACAGAGGAAACAATTTAAATTAAATTAATGTAAGTTAATATTAAAGGTTAGTATTAAACCGGAATTTTAAAACCTGTTAATTGGATTTCAACCTCACATTTTGAAAGCTTTTATTATAGAGTGTGTGTAGTTCAATTACAGTTTATTATTATTATTATTATTATTATTATAAAAGTTAAGAAATAATTATTAAAAAAAAGGATTGATTCATAATTAATTGCAGTCTATCCGGAAAAGGCAATGCTTTCATCTATCCAGCTTCCGAATGGTCCAAACCCGCAGTTAAAATGGGCTTATTCTGTTTAACAAAATGAAAGGCCTAATACCCATCTATTTTATCTTTATTTTTATTTTACCAATTAAAATACTGTAATTGTATACAAACCCTATTTAAATAAACAAACAAAGAACAAAAACCGCATATTTGATATATATAAATCTTAGATTTGACTAAAATATTTTTGAAATTAGTTTTAGAATATAATCATAAAATTAACTAAAAAAATCATTTTAGCGGTATTATTTTTATTAATACTATCGATGACACAAAAACTATTTATATTAGTAGTTGGTTATTACGTGATCTCCAATATTGTGTGATAATTTTTCTCGCAATAAAACAATGTACTGCTTTTTATATTACAACTAATCATAATGGAGTTTTTAACATCCTCACTTTCATGTATTACATCTTAGTACAAGATATACGTAAATGTGTTTCAAAGATATAGATTTACATCGGGCTCATTGCTCAATATGAAAAACATACCAATGTAGATGTATTTGAAATATTTTTTAAGTGTAAAACAAAGTAAATAAATATATTATTTTGTTTAATTTAATTTTAAAAAACTATAGTGTTTTCTTAAATACTAAGGTTTTGTCAAATAACAAAATTTCTTATGATATTTCATTATTTCATAAATAATATAACTATAAAATCGATTTTTATTGTTTAATGATGTACAAGGGAAATTATCATACTTGAACCCTAAAGTTAGAATCAAGTTGGTAAATGGGCTCAACTACCGGAACTGAACGTCAATACCCAGATGGTTTCCATGGACAGAACCCAACACATCCCCGGCCCAAAACAAAGCCACGGTCATGTTGACATGGCGAGATTTCATTGGTTTGATGATGAGCAATAAAGCAAATGCATAATAAAACAACGGTTGAAATTCCACGTGGATACTAACGATTGGTGTAAGCAACGTGGAATGACATGCGAACCCTCCTCAAAATTCACTTCACCTTAAAAATCAAAATTTAATTGAAACTCTTGAGTTGTCTCGAATCGATTTCATCATCTTTCTCTTTTCTATTTCCTATTGCATTTCAATCTGTGAATCGAAGTGTTCCAGTATAACACGACATGTTGTATATCTAACTTCATAGATTTTACTCACCAACGAACTGAAAATGCATCTATTGAGTTTCTGTTCTGTCATTGATGCCGTGGCATGGAGAGGCATGGTTTATACAGTATTTATTCTCCATTTTGTGTTCGCTTGCCAGATCCTCTTGTTGCAGCCACTTGTTTCAGCTTTAGGTATTATTTAGCTTTCACTTTGATCTCGGTTCTGGTTCTTTTTATTAATTAATTAATTTAAATCATTCTTTATCTGTTTTGGGAATTAAATTAGGTGAAAATGAAATTACATGCCTTGATCCATTACTGTTGTGTAAATATTATTTTTCTGGTTAGTAATTCGAGATTGATTTTTCTTTTTGATGGATTAAATTGCTTCATATTGTTAAGATTAACATGTAAACAGATTCATAAATGTAGCATTTTGTGAAATTTGTGCTTTTCTATATGTTTGGAATTTATCAAATCGAATGCTTTGATGCGAGCCTTTGAGGTTCTTAGCCGTAGAAGTTCTAATTTGTGTATCTTTTGGGTATTATAATTGTCTATTGTAGATGGGAAACCTGGAAATGCTGCTGAGTTGTTCGAAAGAGTTTCGCAGAATATAAAGGTGAAACATTACAGTGAGGCACTTAATGATCTTAATGCTGCCATTGAAGCAGATCCTACTCTCGCAGAAGCATATTATCATCGTGGATCTGTCCTGCGCCAGTTATGCAGGTTTGCTTGTAGTGAAAATTTTTATTGTTTCTTTATTTCTGTATGACTTCTTTTACAGAAAATTGTAAATATTTTTCTGATAATTTTTAAAGCCTTTGTCAACGGTTCAATATCTTGATGGAATGGCTCTATTTATTCCATCTTCATTTATGTTTTTGTCATTTACCCCCTATAACTTTTAATGTTATTCTATTTCATTATGCTTTATAAGGATGTTAATTCTTTCTCACCCTTGATATATATAACTTTTACTGCCATTCTATTTGGTTGTACTTTATAAGAATGTTAATTCTGTGTCTCACCCTTGATATCCTTGTTTTATGGTCACCTTTTTCCTGTTTGAGACCATATCTTTCTATTTCTGTAGAAGTTTTTTCATATTCTATTGATAACTTAAACAATGTCAGACTGCTCATGATCTATAGCTGCACTGTGATCATCATGATCTCATAACATAGCATGCTAGTCCAGCTCCAAAACATGCTTTCTCAGAACATCTAGAGTTCTTCATGGGAGCATAATATTAGCCTATAAATGTGCTTAGAAGTATGCTGATTAGAAAAAAAAAATGACTGAGCACGCTATTGGATTGTTTATCTTTAGTTTTGTTCAAGTTGGTTAATCTAGTAAGCTGTTAGTTGTGGAAAGAAAAATAATTTTAAGCTAGAAACACCCCTGTGTAGCCTCTCTTTCTTTCTGTCCTGCCCTCCAACTCCTGATTGGATACTTATATGATTCAGGCGCTTTTTCAATGTAGATATGAGGAATCTGAAAAGAACTACCGAAGGTTTCTAGAGTTGAAACCAGGGAACTCAGTTGCAGAAAAGGAGCTTTCTCAATTGCTTCAGGCTCAGAGCTCTCTGGACACAGCGTTTAAGCTCTTTGACTCAGGCGACTACACAAAACCCTTGGAATACGTTGATAAAGTTGTCCTTGTGTTTTCACCAGCCTGCACCAAGGTATCCTCTTCTCACCCTTTTTTGGCTGACCTAGGGGAGTTAAGAGTAAGGCTTAGCAAGTTTAGCACATAGCTGCTATTAATTGCTGTAAATCACATGTTGCAGGCCAAACTCCTAAAATTGAAGTTGTTGTTGGCAGCTAAAGACTATTCTACTGCCATTTCTGAATCTGGATATATTCTCAAGGAAGATGAGAACAACCTAGAAGCATTGTTGCTCCGTGGACGTGCCTACTACTATTTAGCAGATCATGATGTTGCTCAAAGGTTTCTTAACATCTTAGCTGTTATATATTTGCATTATAGTTTATTCAAAGTAGAAATTTATATTCATGATATATGTTATCTCCAGGCATTATCAGAAAGGACTTCGCTCGGATCCAGAGCACAGTGAACTGAAGAAGGCATATTTTGGATTGAAAAATTTACTTAAGAAGACAAAAAGTGTAAGACCTCTAAAATATTCTTTTGTATTTTTAATTCCTCTTTTAATTTTAATTTTAATTCTTTTTCTGGGTTGGGGTGTGGTTTGAGATAGAGTGGAGTTTGTTTAGGTTAGTTTCTCATCAAGCAACCCTGTTCAGGTCTTCTTAGGTAATAATCAGTTATTATACCTGAAGTATATTTTTGTGCTCTATAGGCAGAAGATAATGTAAATAAGGGTAAGCTGTGCCTCGCGGTGGAGGACTACAAGGCAGCTGTTGTGTTGGACCCTAATCATATTGCACATAATGTACACCTTCATCTTGGTCTGTGCAAGGTCTTGGTCAAGCTTGGCAGGGGGAAGGATGCTTTAAGTAGTTGCACCGATGCACTTGACATTGATGGGGAACTTCTTGAAGCTTTAGTTCAGGTTTGTTGTGTTTCCCTTTCATCATCGTCTGATTTCGTAAAAATTATTCTATACATTTATGTATATTTTAGTTATTGTGATCAATTTATTGTACTTCTTTTTATTATACATATCTGTGCTCATATTCGCTTGCCTGGCATTTTTCAGAGGGGTGAAGCTAAACTGTTAACAGAGGACTGGGAAGGAGCAGTTGAAGATTTGAAATCAGCTGCTCAACAATCACCTCAGGTTAGTCATAATAAAGTTCATTTGACATTTGTGTGAAGATGTGTTTTAAGCTCCAACAATGATGTTGTAGGCTGCCAGTATATTACTATAATCAGTTAACTTTTTGGGCATAACACCTCTTATTACTTTTAATTCAGTAGTCATCCATCTCTATTAATCATTGATTGGATCATTATGGTTTACCACCATTGATATGATGACCAAAATTTTAAAGAGCTACTTACATGTTAATATTCTTATATACATGTATCTGTATAGCATATTATCTAGTGTTAACACGGCGGAGTACTATATTTAGATATTTTCTTCACCTCAAGTAACTGTGACTTTTTAAGAGCTAAAATTTGATATATGTGCAGGATACGAATATTCGGGAAGCATTGATGAGGGCTGAGAAAGCTCTAAAGATGAGCAAACGCAAGGATTGGTACAAGATTTTGGGAGTTTCAAAGACTGCATCAATATCTGAGATCAAGCGTGCCTACAAGAAGCTTGCTCTCCAGTGGCACCCAGATAAGAATGTTAATAACAGAGAAGAAGCAGAGGCCAAATTCCGAGAAATTGCTGCAGCATATGAGGTTTGACTCTGGAATTTTTTACTTGAACATTTTATTATTCTAATGTAATTTCGACTGCCACTTACAATTGTGCATCCCAACCAGGCAGTGATTATGTCATGATCACAACCTAGATTTTATGTTCCCTCATCTGAAACTTGTATTGTACTCCACAGGTTCTTGGAGACGAAGAAAAGCGCACAAGATTTGATAGAGGGGAAGACATTGAAGATATGGGAATGGGTGGAGGTGGCGGCGGTGGCTTCAACTTCGGTGGTGGAGGGCAGCAATTCACTTTTCATTTTGAAGGAGGCTTCCCTGGTGATGGCTTTCCTGGTGGTTTTGGATTTAATTTTTAATTGCAATGAAGGCTGGTTCTCCCTTCCTCTCACAACATGAGCTGGGAATACCAATATGACTAATGCTGACTGGTACGCCGTGGTATATATTTCAGGTCATCAAAAGAGGCTTGTTAAATGGAAAATGTATCCCTTCAAAAAGTTTTGCTCCTCCAGATATCTTCATTCTTGAATTTATAGTTAGCTCATTTAAGGAAACGGTTAGTTCTTTGGTTAGTTATATACTTGATGTATCGTAAGTATTAATGATATGCTTCGGCTCCAAGCCTCCAATTGATCTTAATTCTTAAATTCCATTTAACATGTTTTGATTCTTTCTACAAAGAAAATAAACTTGTGCCAAATTTTATTTTTATTTTCCCCTGTAATTACCGGCCCACCCTTCATCGAAATCGAAAGTACTCGGATATGAAAAAGCATCAAATACTGACTGTTTTTTGAAATTTTTATGAGCGTTTTAAATCTTTTAGGGGTTTTTTGGATATTTGTAAGGGAGTTTTGATAATTATATGAATAGTTCTATATAAATAAGCAATTGTTTAATATTCTAGTTCAACTAAGGGTGTTTAAAAGTGGTTAATCGAACCGGTTAATCGTTTTCTAAACCGAACCGGATTTTTGGTTCGGAAAAATTTCAAAACCGAAACCGACTGGTTTTAGAGAAAATCGGTTTTTCGGTTAACCGAAAAACCGGTTAACCGTTTTAAAAAAGTGTTTAACGGTTTTTCCCTTTTTTTTTTAATTTTTTTTTATAATTTTGTCATAAATTTAATTGTAAATAAAGACAATACATTGAGAACGAATAAGAAAAAAAATTTAGGTTGGGATTTTAGATTGAGTGAATTAGAGATTTATTTTAGTTTAGGTTATATATATATATATATTTGAAAAATCGGTTTTCGATTAACCGTTTCTAATTTCTTCCGAACCGGCAACCGAACCAAAAATTCGATTTTTTTAATTTTTTGAACCGTTTTTTGTTAACTGGTTTTTCGGTTCGGTTCGGTTTTTACATTTTTTTGAACACCCCTAAGTTCAACGGTGTTAATGAGCTAATAACATTAACTGGCCAAACCAACATAATTATTTGGAGGCATCAGGCATAGAGCACTGTGTCTCTAAGCTTGGAGCTTTGAATTTCAACTTGATGGATGAAGCAAATCATGAACTACTCTGGGATCATCGAATTTTATTTGGTAAAAGTGGTGATTTGCTATGAAAATTTCAAATGAGAAAATTTATTTGCTTCTCATTATATAGTATAGATTTAGACCGAGTTTTATCCCACTGTTCTTGTGCAACATATTACGTGAAATTGTGAATGATAGGACACATATGCCTGGTTAAACAGTATATTATTTTGTAACAAATCAGCTGTTATATTGTGCATATTATATGATCATAATATTTGGATTCAGGGATCTATTAGGGTCTTTATTTGCATGTTAATTTGATTATAAATTTTTGCATTGATATCTCAAAAAGGAGAACTTTATTAATTCTCTGGCAAGTTTCTGATAATAAAGGAATTATTAGAAGAATAATGATTTAATCGAGTTCAATTTTTTTAACAAACACTAATTCAAAGAACTTATGATAATCAACACAAAATTTTTTAACATCAGTGGAAACAAAATCATGGCCTGAATGCAACAGCAGCAAGAACTGCAACTCCAAATGTTAAAACTGTTGGTGCACGATGGTTCAAACTCAATGCAGCTGCAGAAGTATCAACATTTGTGACATCTGTGGAAGACCCTTTAGGAGTTGCAGCCGGAAGATCCTTCTCCGGCTTCGAAGGCGCAGGCGCCGGCGAAGCAGCAAAAATATCCAATGGAAGGAGCACATTGTCAACCTGATACACTTCTAAATTTGCGCTAGAAAATACAGTGTTAGCAACTGTTGCATCATTAACTCCTGTAGTTAAGTTCACCTGATTTCCTGAAGTTGTAACATTGAGCGGGTACTCGCCAGCGTCGCTGTTCCCCGCCTGCGTGCGCAGCGGGTTGCTTGCAGTTTGGAACTGTGATATGGTCATCAGAGTTGGGAGAACATGGAATTGTACTAGGCTGACTTTTTCTTGGTCACTGAGCGAGTTGACTGTGCCTGATTTGAGACTCGAAAAGGCATTATCCGTCGGCGCAAACACTGTAAGGCCCTGGTTTGTGTTGTTGAGCTGTGTGTTGATTTGGTCATCCTGTTGGGTGCTTTCCAGCAGCCGAATAAACATAGTGAATTGGCCACCTTTTTCAAGGATTGCAGTAATGTTGGGGGGACCTGATGGTGCTGCAGCAGGCGCCTGAGCAGAAGTTTTCGTGCAATGAAGGAGGAAAATAAACAGAAGAAAGAATGAGAAAAAAAGCGGGTTTGTCATTTTGTTCGCTTTCTTTAGAATCGAGCGAGAGGCCGCCTAACCGTTTTGGCCCAGGGTGATGAAGAAGAGATTAAAATTTGAAGAGTATATATTGACTGGGGTCAGAAGGAAGTGATGGTAAAGTTAGGTGAAAGGGTCCAAATAGAAGGTGGGGGGTGAACTTCAATATTGTATCTTCCTTTTAAAGGGAGATGAGATTGCTTTGGAAGGCAGGAAGAACAGCAAGAAATGCCAATTTTATTATGAGGTGGGTATCAGTGGAAATGATGCAAATTTAGGCTTTTGTTGCTTGTTTCTTGGGACAAGTTTCTAAGAAAGAATCCTTCAAGCTGAAGCTGTGAATGCAATTAAATATTAGTCGGAAAATGGTATAATTATGATGGTCGACTGACGTAGTGACGTTAATCTGGACCAACGGTGATGGGTATTGCACACACCACAAACAAACTTTGACGAGATTTCTGATGTACCACCTTTATAAGAAATAGACTTAAGGTCATAGAGAAAAGGAGAAGCCTTTAAATTCTGTTGAGCTATCTATTTCATGCACACTTTGTACTTAAAATTTGTGGTTGCTGCCCATGAATTTTTGTGTTTGCTTTTGTTCTCTTTTTTTTTTTTTTTTTTTTTGTTTTTTTACAGTTTACTGGTTGAGCTGCCTGGGCTCTCAAGCCAAGTTAAAACCAACTCATTTACTTGCCACCGGCTGCCTCCTCAATAAGGATGATCATGGGTGGATGAAAGATGAACAAAGTTAAAATCAATAAAAATATGAGTTTGATTCAAACTGCATGTGCTCTGAAATATGGTTTTATCATCTAAAAAGAAGAAATTAACATGGAGTTTTTGTGTAAATAAAGAGATGGGACATCTATGTACTAGGGTGTGTTTGGTTGGGGGTAATCTCTCATTACTAAGCTAATGTCATCTTATATTACTTGATTATAACGTTTGATTGTCAAATAATATAAAATTCTAGTAATCTTCCAAAACCAATCGTAATTATTATTGGTAATATAGGAGGTAATCTGATTACTTCTATTTTCTTAGGTATTTTAAGATTATTTGATAATCTTAATTTTATTACAATTTTACCTCTTATTAATAAAATTTTAGAACAATAATGTACTTGTTATCTAAATAATTTACAAAAAAAAAAAAAAAATATGGACAATTTTAACCTCATACTCAGGATTTTTAAGAGAAAAATACCCTTGTACTTAAACCAAATTACCGAAAACCATAGCTACCCCTAGCCACCACCCCAACCACCTAAGAGGACTGTCAGCTATCGACGGCAATCACTAGAACAACGCACAGCCGACCCGATCTGACCAATCGTGCGCCATTATGATGACTACCGGCGGCGTGCGGTGGTGGTGGTTGGCTACCTGTAGTGGCTTGGGGTGGGTGGAGTTGATTTTGTTATAAATTAAAGTTTTATATAACTGGGGTGTTTTAGCAAAATTTTAAATATAGGGGGTTAAAAGAATGATTCGAAAAATAACAATAAAAATAATATTATTTAATATTTAAAAAGGAGGGTAATTTAGTAATCTATATAATATACCTGCTAATTTATCCTCCCAACCAAACATATAAATATAACATAGCCACAAATTTATTCCAATCTAACCAAACACGTTTTTCTAAATATTCCTAGTAATCTTCAAGTTAATATATCTTTCCATTAATATAACATTCTCAATTACAACATTCCATAAATCAAACGCACTCTTAATATTTTTGTACTCATTATAGAATGCACGACTTTTTGTTTGTTCAACAATTGATATATTTTCTTAGCAAAGGACACGTCTTTGTGTAAACGGCATGTCACTCCTAATACTAACTAAATATTACTTAGGTCCATAAGTTCCAGAGAAGCAAGTTGTATTTAGTATTTACTGAACAACAGGGGGGTGTAATTGATATTATGCAAACAGTTTAGGTTGCCCATATTTTTGTTTATTTGAGTGAACTTAAGGGAATTTACCCTTAAAGGGGGGGGGGCGTTTGGTTCAGGGAATATTAGATTACTAGGTATGTTGGATTACTGAAATCTTATATTATCTTGAAGATTACTGGGAATCTTTAGGAAAATGTGTTTGGTTAGTTGGTGGGTATGTTATATTAATATGTTTGGTTATGGGGAATAAATTGGTGAGTATGTTATTTAAATTACTAAATTGTCCCATTTTTAAATATTAATATAATATTATTTTTATTATTAATATTTGAATAATTTTTAACCCACAATATTTCAAATTTAGCTAAAATACCCCCGTTTATATAAAACTTTAATTTATGACGAAATCACCCCTACCCCTTGGCCCTTGCCGCCGCCTGCCGCCACTGCAAACCACCGCCGGAAGTCTCTGACAGTAGCTGTGAGTTGCTCACCGTTTCTAGCCATATTGATGGTTGAAAACGGCCATATTATATCGGCCAGATCGAGCCTAGATCTGGCCACTAATGGCCAGGAATCTGGTCGTTAGCGGCCAGATCTAGACTAATATGGCTGGAAACAGCCATATCGAAGCCTCCTGGAGCCTTTCACAGAATCTCGGTCTTTTTTAGGGACTCCAACGACTTTCTAGTGGCAATCCATGGTGGTTGGCCCACTGTCGGCGGTGGTGGTTGGCCCACTGTCGGCGGTGGTGGTTGGCCCACTGTCGGCGGTGGTGGTTGGGTGGCAATGGTGGTCTGTAAATTGTTTAAATAGAAGGACATTATTGTCCAAAAATTTAATTAAACAAGGGTAAAATTGAAATAGTATATTAATGTAAATTTATTTTAAAATATGGTCATTATTATCCAAATTTTTTATTAATAAAGGATCAAATTGTAACAAAAATAAGATTACCATGGTAATCTTACAATATCTAAGAAAATAGAAGTAATCAAATCACCTGCAATATTACCAACAGTAACAACTATTGGTAATGCAAGATTATCGGAATCTTATATTACTTGGCAATCAAACATGGTAATCAAGTAATATAAGATGACATAACCCCAGTAATCTTCCATTACCTCCAACCAAACGCCCCCTAATAGTTTTTAAAATTTGTTTCTTGAGGGTATGACATGTCAACATCACATAAAATAGAATTGGGAACCTATCTCCCGATTTTAGTAGTTAGGGCAAGTAGCTTTTGGTTTTTTTTTTTTTTTTAGTGGAGTGGGGTCTCACTTTTTATTTTTTTTATTTTTTGTAATGAGGACATTTTGACCAACTTGTATGCACTTTAACTAATTTTTTGAGATTCTGAAGTAACTTTAGAATAAATAAGATTACTGGATTATAAACGGTGGAGTTTTTGTCTAATTGAGGAGATGGGACATCAACGGTTGCGTTTGGATGAATATTTTCATCCATATTTTGAGTCAGATTTTGAGAATAGTGTTTGGTTCAATATTTAGACAATAGGATTTTCAAAATTCTATTCCAACACTTTTCTGACAGCTTGACTGTTTGAATTTTTTTTTTTTTAACAGTTTTCCCCTTTTTCACCCGTTCTCTTTTGACAGTTTGTGACATGTTTGAATTTTTTTTTGTAGTTGTTAATGAAGTATACGTTTAAGAATGATTGTAAGGGTTGATAATTAGTACTTTTGTCATATATGTATTAATATGATGTTTTTAAACAGTTGAATTAGTACTTGAAATTAATATGGGTTTTTATTCTTAATATCTACGAGTGACAAAATTACCAATAAAATATTTAGTATTATTAAAATGTAACTTGATAAGTTATATATATAATAATACATTATTTTAACAAAATTTAACAAAATATTATATTAATAAATCATTTATAAAAAATATATATTAATCAAATATTCAACACAAATATCAAGGTCAAAATACTCAACCAAACACATATTCTGTAAATCATATTCTCGTAATCATAATCCTATCTAACTATCCAATCATATTTTCAAAATCATATCCAAAATACTGAACCAAAGGCACCACCGTAGCCATTACAGTATCTGCTCCACACCAAAACTGATTCCAAACAATGTCTCATAAGTCCGTTAAACTGAAAATGAATCCAGAGATAGGGGACAGGAGTGCACTTTCTCTTAACAAGGGCCCATATGAACCCAAAGTTTGAGGAGGCCTTTGGAATTTCCGTCCTTCAATAAGTTGGGCCTTAAACAAACGCAAAAAGATAAAAGATTACAATGCAGGCTTCAGATCAAGATGATTACAGGCTTCGCAAATCAAAATAAGACAGCGATTGGCGAAACTCTCAACAACGCAAATGGAGCAATTTTTGGTGGTCTATAAAAGAGTGAACTACTTCCCACCTATGGTTTTCCTTAATGACACTTTTTCACCAAAAAAGTTTCAAAATACCATTTTTTCATTCAAAATTTATATTCTGACCAATCTTCGATCGATTCGGACATTTTTGTAACACCACATCACCATCATTCTCTTCTTGATCATCACTCACTAAAACCACTAAAACCTTATTTCTGTCAACCCCGTCAATCGTTGATAGTCGAACGATTTGTATAACCCATAATTGCCTTTTCAAAGTCAAATTCCGACCGACTTCCAACCGTCAAAATCCAACTAGCCACCATCAAAAGATTTCCCAATATTCTTTCTTTAAAAACTTTAATAGTTTAGACCGAGTTTTTTTTTTCGTTGGTTATTGAATCGAAAAGTATATTCTGGATAGTAAACAAAATATAAACTTTGGATGGAAAAATAGTATGTTGAAAATTTATGTGTGAAAAAGTATCATTAAGACAAACCTTAGGGTGGGAAAAAGTCGCTTACTCGACTGAAAAATAATAAAGAAATTGTACTTATCTGTTTTCTAATAAAACCAATACTTGCTTTGAGATAACCCTCATAATATATTACTTTTAACTTTAATTATTTTAGGCTAAGCTTATTGGACTGAATTAAATCACAAGTAGAGTTTGAGAAGCCCAACATTGATGATTGAAACACATAGAATATGCTGCAATTGCCCAATGTATATACACTTTGAAAAACAAGATTAAGGGGTACCATGTACCCTAACATGCTAGATTATTTCCTCAAATCAAAACAAGTTTCAGAGCTGTAAAACAAATCCAACCTTTTTCACTAGTTGAATCAAAATCTCAAACCCTCCTTCTTCTCTCATTACCCTTCTACTTCTTCAATAAACTTCATGAAAAACACAACTCTCTATTACAATAACACAACAAATATTGAGATCATCTCTCCTTATCATCCCCACCGTCCATTTCGTTGACTTTTTCTACTCCAAAGTCAAACCTCTTATTTCTAATCTGAAAAAAAAAAAAAACCAACCTCAACGTTCACATAAGCCGCAAACCTTACGATCCAAACCCTCGCTTTGATCCGGTAGCCATTGAAGAACACCTTCAAGACAAGCACACCCAAAAATCATAAACCCTAGTGTCATGATCACATGCTCTCGGGTGTACCGTAAGCGAAAACATGATCAATCCAGCCAACGGTATGATTTCCACATCATCTTCATCAGCCAACGCGCAGTCTCCCGGTCTAAAGACCTATTTCAAAACCCCAGAAGGGAGGTATAAGCTTCACTATGAAAAGACCCACCCTTCAGGTCTCCTTCACTACGCTCACGGCAAAACCGTTACTCAGGTACTTCAATTTTTAATTTTCTGGATTGTTTTTCAAGTACGCTTTGTGTCGTATCAGTTTCTGGATGTATTTCATTTATAAATTTTTGAAATTTTGGGGTTTTGGTTTTACCCATTCGTGAAATGTAATGTACGAGCATTTTTTTTTATTTTTTTTAATGTCAATTCTGATTGCTTAGGATTCTTGATTGAGATAATCAGGAATTTTCTGGGTTGTTCTTATTCAATTTTTGGGAATTCTATTTGAACAATTAATGTGATGATTTTTTAGAATTACTCATTTGATAAAACTTAGTATGTTGTAGTATTGTGTGTTATGATTATTTAGGGGTTTATTAAAGGCTTATTTTCTAGAGTTAATCATTTTAAAGCATTCCTTGTGATTTGGGGATTTTTATAGTATGGTATAAGAAAATGAATTTTGGTCGTATTAGTGGTCAATCTTGATTTCTGAGTGCATATTTTGGTTGGATTTTAAATATCAGGTTACTCTAGCTAATCTCAAGGATAAGCCAGCGCCATCAACACCAACGGCCCCACCTTCAAGCTTCAGTGCTAGCAGTGGGGTACGCTCAGCTGCAGCTAGGTTGTTGGGTGCCGGGAATGGAGGTCGTGCTCTTGGTTTTGGTGGAGGCAATGGTGGGAGTAAGAGTCTTAGTGGGAGTAGTAGGATTGGTTCATTGGGTGCTTCAAGTTCTAGTAGCTCAATGACTAATACGAATTTTGATGGCAAAGGGACTTACTTAATCTTCAATGTAGGGGATGCTATCTTTATAAGTGATTTGAACTCTCAAGATAAGGTAATTTGGTGGTATTTGATGTTTAGGTTTTTAATGAGCAGTGGGTGTTTTGGGTTGGCAAATGAAAGTTGCGTTGTTTTTTGTTGAATGTAGGACCCAATAAAGTCTATTCATTTCAGTAATTCAAATCCTGTGTGCCATGCATTTGACCAAGATGCAAAGGATGGCCATGACTTGCTTATTGGGTTGAATTCTGGTGATGGTAATATCTTTAACTTGAAAATTTTGATTCTCAAGGTTCATTGGAAGGTTTAAACTTTCCAAATTTATTGTTCTGTGTGTATTGTTGTAGTCTACTCAGTGTCACTGAGACAGCAATTACAGGACGTAGGGAAGAAGCTTCTTGGTGCTCAGCACTATAACAAAGATGGCTCTGTTAATAACAGGTAAGATTATACTTAATTATAATATATTCGATACAGCTTTTTATTTCTTTATACTATGTGTGATTGACATGCTTCTCATATTTTTTATCTAGGTGTAATTATTGGGTTCATTGGGTATTGCATTTATGTTTTTAAAACTGCTTTGTGCTGCCACCTGGCTAGGGAAGATGCTTAGGAGTGCCACCGTTTTTGCATTACCATTTTTGTCCTATATTTTGTGAATTGTTCTTTATTTTGGCGTGCCATTACTGTGATCTTTACAAAGTTTTTAGTGGGTAATTATTATCCTACTGTGGGATGCTTAAAAATAAGGGAAAGAGAAAGGAAACATAATCTTTTTATGAATCTTAAAAAGCTAAAAACTCCATCCATGTTGGTGAGTAAATATAAGGATATAATGCAGAGTTCTCTGTGGAAAACAAACAGAAAGACCTTCTATTTTTTTTTTTTTTTTTTTTGAGCTTTGCACAAGATATATTGGGTAAGGCTTGGTGCATGAAAACTTTCTTGCAAGATATTATTGGCTTTGCATCAACCCTTTCTTGCATTATTTATTCTGTCAGCTTTATTTGTGATTTATTTGTGTTTGAAGTGAATTCTCTCTTGGTTGGCCTTGGCAATGGTTAAAACAGTAGACCTTTTTCTAATTGTTTTTATTGATACTGTGTCAGGTCTTTTCATTTTTCTTGCTTGATATACTCAGAAATCAGTCTGATTGATGCATGTTTTTCAACAGTCGTTGTACAAGTATTGCATGGGTTCCCGGAGGGGATGGTGCTTTTATTGTTGCTCATGCCGATGGGAATTTGTATGTGTATGAAAAGGCAAGCCTCAAATATGAAGAGAAATATTTTATTCTTACTTTCATATCTCATGGTGATATATGTGATGATATGCTTGCTTTAAATATTTTACAGAGCAAGGATGGTGCTGGTGATTCTTCATTCCCAGTTATTAAAGATCAAACTCAATTTTCTGTTGCTCATGCACGTTACAGTAAGGTACTGGAGTACATGTTGTCAAAGCCAGAACTTATCGATTTGGTCTCTGAAGTTTGTTGCTTTTTCTCATTTTCATATTAAAAAAATTAGTACTTGGCACTGCTATCAAATTCAGAAGCAATAGATTATTGCATCACATATATATATATATACACACACGCTATGAAATGCAGCTCAACTTTCAATTATTAGGCCTTTTTACATGTTTGCCTCTGGATTCTAGGAAAGTTGCAGATGTCCTGATGTTGCAAACAGTACAATATTCGAATATTAAATCTTTCTGAGATGTTGATTCTATCGATTAGAGTCTTTATTAGTCAAGATTTTTATTGACTCGTGGGTAACAATTCAATAATGTCTATTCAGCTTTCACCCTTCCAGGTTTTGATGTTGTCCTATACGTCATACCTTTTTCAGTTTCTTGTTGCTCTTTCTCCCACTCCGTCTCTCTCTCTCTCTGTCTGTCACTTTTTGTGTGTTTGATTAGTAGACAAAGACTGCATATGCATCTACTTCTTTGGTAGATCCACTCCCCATTAAATGTATCTTTTCTATTGTATTTTCCAAGTGCTGTCTTGTATGTCTATGTCTGTTTATTCTGTTTGTGCTTTGTTAGACTATTATTAGGATATTTTTACTATTTTTGCACCCTATCAGGATCTGACTCTCATACTCAGTAACTTGGAACGGATTGGGTTCATTCACATGGTTGTATTTTAATGGTATGGGACATATTATTAATATTTAAATAAAAACATGGGGGTTTGTAACTAACATTGTTAAATTATCAAGCGGTCCTACAATTTATTAGGTCCAAGTACTGGACAATTAGGAAAAAGGGCACCTTGTAACCGGGGCTTATCTGAGTACTGGGTAGGGGTGGAAAAAAAAAAACTGAACGGACTGAAACCGAACCAAAAAATAAGTTTTTCTCTAAACCAGTTCGGTTTCGGTTAGTAGGAATGGTTAAACCGGTTTTCCGGTTTGGTTACCGGTTTGACCCAAAATAAAAACCGGTTTTTAACAAAGCCCTAAATCTATTCCTAAACCCATTAACAAATCCTCAAATCTATTCCTAAATGGCTAAACCCATTTCTTCTTTCTTCTTCTCTTTATCTCTGTTTTCTCTCTTTTTTTCTTCTTCTTCCTCCTCCTTTCTCATGCCCCTCTCTTTCTCCTTATCTTTTCTTCTTCTCTTTCTCTTCCTTTCTATTCTTTCCTCCTCGCCATTCACTCCCTCTAGTTGCCGCTGTTTGGCTGAAAATACATGCATAGATAGTGGTCAAGTGACAAGGGCCGATGATGGAAGCTCGGGACGGAGCTGTATGATGTGGAAGTCTCCTGTACGGTTCCCTGAGAAGGGAGTGTCTACCTACTGGAGCTTTGACCAACCACCACCTGTCAATTCTGCTTTGGGGCCACCCCTTACTCTACCATTATTATAGGGCTATGGGGTTCGAGGCTAAGAAAGATCAAGGCAGCATATAAGTTTTTCCTTTATACTTTACTTGGATCCATTTTATGCTATTAGCTATTCTATTGATTCTTCTCCAAACAGGAACCATGGTTGGTCATTTTTTTTTTAATGTTTTTTTTGTTTCTAAGTTTTAAATTGGGCCAGGGGTTGATTTGTGATGTTTAAAAGAATTTTCAATTGTGTTAGGGTTTGATTTGTGATTTTTTATTTTGATTTTGTTGTTGATGTTACTGGTGGAATTGATGATTGAAAAATGGATGACTAATTTTTCTTGAAGTTGGATTGGTGGTGGATTGATTTAGTTTTGTGAAGAAGCAGGATTTGATTTTGTGGAGAATTTGTTGAAGGAGCAGAGATGATAAACCGGTTAACCGAACCGATTTATCGGTTTGGTTAATAACTGGTTCATGTAGAAATCCGGTCCGGTTTCCGTTTGGAATTTACCTGAACCGGACCAGTTTTCCAGTTCAGTTCAAAAAAAGGCCGAACCGGTCTGGTTAACCGGATTTTTCCACCTCTAGTACTGGGCTTTGATAATTACTGGTTGTTTGGACTGTTTGTTACATATTGTTGATTTTCTGCAGCCTGCTCCATCTATTTTTGTTTGTTTATATCATGCAATTCTTGTGCAGAGCAACCCTATTGCCAGATGGCATATTTGTCAGGGTTCAATTAATAGCATTGCTTTCTCAAGTGATGGTACCTACTTAGCAACTATTGGAAGAGATGGTAAAATCTTGACCTCTGTTTGTAACGTCTTATGCCTCTTGTCTATTAGCATGTATGAGCTCAAGTTTTTTGCCAAATGTAGGTTATCTACGAGTTTTCGACTATTCAAAAGAACAACTTATATGTGGGGGCAAAAGCTACTATGGTGCTTTATTATGTTGTGCTTGGAGGTAAATATCTACACTTGTTTATAGCTGTAGCTTACAGATATTTGTTTAAAATACCTCTTCCAACTTCCAGATTTTCTTTTCTCTATGTCAGTTAAACATATCATGTAGTTCTTTTTGCTCGTGAAGTAATTTTTTTTCCTTTTAAAATAAGATTTTTGCTTTTTAAGTATAATTATTCCTTTTGAGAATATAGAAGGTTAATTTGACAACAAAGTGCTACTGAACAGCATGGATGGAAAATACATCCTGACTGGTGGTGAAGATGATTTAGTTCAAGTTTGGAGTATGGAAGATCGTAAAGTTGTAGCTTGGGGTGAGGGGCACAATTCTTGGGTAAGGTTTTGTCAAATTCTTGCTGGGTTTTTATAGTCAATGGCAGATGATTAAATCTTCCTTACACAGTTCTTTCTGGATGGTGTTGGCAGGTCAGTGGTGTAGCTTTTGATTCATATTTTTCATCGCCAAATTCAGATGGCACAGGGGAGACTGTCATGTACCGATTTGGCTCTGTTGGTCAGGTATATGATCAGTAGTTACAGTGAAGTCTGGTAAAAAATGGTGACAGCGATGAAGATATGATAGAAGATCGTTTTAGTTATTTTTAAATTAATTTTAAATGTCTTAGAGGAGGTTTGGTTTTTTCCCTAAACTTTGCCTCCATCACTAGTATGCTCGACTTAACTCTTCACTTATTACTACTCCAGCAACTTAATTATATGCGAGCAGGACATGAATATGAGATATATTCTGGTTTTTGCCAACCTTGGCCTCTAATCACCTCTCTGCTTTGAAATTCTCACATTTCATCATTGCTGCAACTTACATGATTGTGATTTACGAGCAGGATACACGGTTGCTTCTGTGGGACCTAGAAATGGACGAGATTGTAGTGCCATTACGCAGAGGGCCTCCTGGAGGTTCCCCCACTTTCAGTACTGGAAGCCAGTCATCCCATTGGGACAACGTTTGTCCAGTAGGGACGTTGCAACCTGCTCCTAGCATGCGAGATGTTCCAAAGCTCTCTCCTCTAGTGGCTCACCGGGTTCACACGGAACCCCTGTCTGGTTTGATATTTACCCAGGAATCTGTTCTTACTGTCTGCCGAGAGGGGCACATAAAAATCTGGATGAGACCCGGGGTTGCTGAAAACCAATCTGGCAACTCTGAAACAGTGTTATTAAGTACCAGTTCAAAGGAAAAACCATTATTGTCGAGCAAGGTTGGCAGTTCTAGCTACAGGCAATAGCATACTGTCTTCAGATGCAAGGCATATGAAGCTCTTTGTCATGGTGTTGCATTTCTATTTGCTAGCATGGTCGTTCATCTCTTTTCAACCAGTTGGTTTTCTCAGGACTAGCTTTGTGTGAACATAGTCTGGTTGCAGTGAGATTAACCAATTGGTTCCATTGTATATTCAAGGTGAAAAATGCCATTGATGGCACTTTAAGAGTTTGGGAGGAAGAGAAAAACCTCCTTTGTAAGTACAAACGGCTGTTGCTAGGATATATTTAATGACACTGACAAGAATAATGTGAAGTTGCTCCTTTAAAGAGTTGGATGACTTTGAGGTGCATTCAAGTGATTATTTATTCTATTGGTAAATGCTTTGTTACAATAACCATATAATTTTTTGTTGAGTACCTTAATTAAAGACTGGCTCCTTGAGATTACCATTGGCCTAACCCGCATGGCTAATTGTGTTTTCTGTAACTTTGGAGAAGTTTGTCATTGAATTTTCAACAGAAGATTTGTGATATGCTTTACACTACTTGACTTAGGGTATCCTGTTGTTTTAAACAATTAAGTGGTGGCTGCAATGGGATTTAGAACAATTATCCGCTTCCTAGTATTTTGTTAGAAGCTTCTTGTTTTCATAATTTTCTTCAATATTACAGAGTGGATCAAATTGTTGCATTTACCTCTTTTGGGTTTTCTTCTGGGTATTGATGGGAATATAAGCAGATGGGTTTTGCATCTATAGCGATTTGTAAAGTGCTTACATTACAAAAGCTGTTTCACTTTCATTTACCTTTTTTATTCATTGCTTGTAAAAATGCTTTGTTACATTTTTTTCACTTTTCAAGTAACAACAGAAATCTGACACCCGAATGAAATTTCCTCTCTACTTAAAAGTTCAAATTTGAATGGCTACAAAAAGACTTCTGTAAGCAACCTTCCAGCCCAACAGATCTTCCAGCTTGGAATGACAATATATTTGTTCTTCACATGTATAATTTGTTTTACCATTTCTTGGCTGATTGTAATTTCCTTCACTGAGGTATAGACTATGGAAACAACTTATTACGAACAAAAATCACAATGATGCACGGAATTCAATTCCATTTCATTCAGCCTTAAAAGAAAATCAAGAAAACACTCAGACACGGTAAAAGTGGAGGCTCAGCTCGGAATACAAGATCTGGCTTGTGAATGCGGTAAATGCATGAAATTAAGCACTTAGAGGACACTGTATATACAACCATACAACTGACGTTTATACATATATGATGCAGTTTCTAAGCAACCAGAAGACTCTCATCTATGCCATTGATTACTTTCAAGTTTCAATGTGTGAAGTCAGTTGCCAACTGCAGTTTCCGAAACTCTTGATTCAGTTTCGTGGGGATGAGGATCGGTCTGAATTTGATGGGCAGTTGCAGATGGTTGATCCTGCTGTGTCTCCTCCTGAGTCCGAGGCTGTTGACTTGACCACATTGCCCATCTTCTCCTCCAACTCAAAAACTCACCAAGAAAGGAAGTACCACACATTGTGATTCCAAACCCAGCAAAAGTGGAGAGTAGAACAGATAGAACAGCCTGCATGTGAAGCTGAGGATCCCCCACAAACATACAAAACACAGGAATCATATATCTACAAGTGGGTATTGCATCAATATTTCTGTAATCCTAAACTCATCATCATCTGTATTCGTTCTTCAGTTTAGCAAAGTAGAGCCACTCATTTTTAAAAATTTATTGTCAGCAGAGAATCTCTTACCAAAGAATATAAAAGATGAGCAGAGAGAACCACTAGTCCATATTGGATAACTGCATAAATCCAAACATATTTCCTCCGAACTGTGCACACAATATAGAAGAATCAGGTAGGTACTGGATATTACTTTCATAGCCAACTTAAGTACTCCTAAAAAAGAAATAAAAACTCAACACTACCCATAGTTGTAGATGTCATTGAGGCAAGGAGGCCCAATATGCATGAGAATGGGAGAGAGATAGCAATTGCACCAGACTTCATTTTCCCGACCTGTTCGCATGATAATATTAGCAGCTGCAATAAGCTTGAAGAGCATGATTTCAAAGTTGATAAACTTACCAGAAGCTGCTCGAGATAACAAAAGTAAGCAAGCATGCTGACAATGACAAGAATGGGAACATCCTGCCAAACCCTGACAAATCAGAATTAAGTTATTAATCTTTGTAGATGACATTTAACATGAGTCAAAAAGATTAAAACTATGAGCCCACAGCCAGGCCATTTCATTTTTTTTTTTTTTTCTTCTAAAATTATATTTCATTTTTTTTTTCTTCTAAAATTATATTTATAAAAAAATCATGATATATCATTTCCCAGACATTGCAACCGTCAAACATAGTTACTTGCCTGTATCGACCAACCTCAGCTTGCTGAGTTATACCTCCTCGTAAAGAACTGGCCTGGTTTTGAAGTCGTAAAAGAGTAACAGGAAGATTTTGGACTTCTTTTTTGCACACATCACATATTTTGTTACCTTTAATGCTAAACCATTTTACAGCACATTCTTGGTGGGCTAATGCAAGTTCACCTTTACAGCTACATTCCATCTTGAGGGTGTCACCACCTTCTCCCAGTTCAATCAAGCATATTCTGCAAACAGCTTCGTCTTCACGAATATCTTCAACACCATCATCATTTTCATCTGAACAATAAGACTAAGATAAGGCATAGGTTGGTTATTGCAAATTACAGAGAAAATAAAAGTTACTACTGGAAACTGAATATGCAGACAAATCCATATGCCCATTAACCGGAGATTTTTACAGAAAGTACTTCAGAATAGATTAGTCAAAAAATGATCAATTCCAAAAACTAAAAGTATCTGGAAAGCATTAAACTAATATAATTTATTACTCCTGCATATAATCAGCACATACAGCTACAAGTTTACTTCCACTAAGAGTTTGGTTACAGCATATTGCACTAAACTCATGATAAGCAATTATTTCACACTGTTCTAAGTTGGTGGATCATGTGAATCGATTGATTTAACAAGAAAAATTTCTATCAGTCAAACATAACCACAAAGCTCAAAATTCTAAACTTATTGCTGGTCTATTTCTTTATTCTTGCTGTGGAGATGAGGACATAAGAGAATTGTGAGAATAAAGTTTACCAGTAACATTTGAAGGATGTGTGTTTGATGTTGTTGTGGCAGTACCCTCAGCCATACGTGGAGTAGTAGGAATTACACGAAATACACCACCCAAAGAATCCAACTGTCTTACGCTCCCATCTTTGTTGAGCACAGGGACTGAATGTGAACGATGTATAGGTAGCTGAGCTCCTCCTTTCTATAAAGTGAGGAATTAAAGAGGATAACAAAGCCAGGTATAAATTCAACATGCCAATTTATACCTGGATATATTTAAGAAAAGAAAAAAGCCACATGTATGATTGGAGTAGTTGTTTGATATAAATGTACTGCAAATGCAGATTTGCAATCTGCATGTTATACATATATAGGAGCCATAACTCAACTCTGGTTGACGCAAGATAATATAGGCATATTAATCTCTGACTACAAATTACTTATGCTGTACAACTTGATTCCAGTGAATCAGCTTCAGTTTAGCTAATAGACTCATCCAGAGATTGAACTGACCATAAATGCTTAAATCAAGAGATTTAGGGAAGTCAGAGAATCCTCACACAAGGATTCACTGCACACCTCTATATGCGCACAGAAAATTGGAATGAAGGGTATTGATTGGCTTTCAGTATTACGAAGCATTTCAGTATTATTCTGGAATCCAGAGTAGTTAATACAGATGAAACACTCACCTAGCATCATGCATTACTAGATTGCTTATAAAGTAAACATTAGTACTCAATACATAAATTATAATTTTCATCTAACAGAGGGGTAGTACTTACACCAGAATTCAGAGGATCAACTGTTTTTCCCCCATGCATAGACTCTGGATTTGAGTGAGAAATTGGGGTTACGGGTAAAGATGATGTTCTCTTTGTTCTGGGTGTGAAAAGCTTTGTAAGGGATAAAGTCCTGGAAATCTGAGGCTTCTCCCGTGTCTCCACAAATGAACTTCCCAGGGCAAGGATAGCAGCCTTTTCAATATCTGATGTATTATTCCGAAACTTAAAACTTAGCTTTGGAAGGAGGTTTTTAAAGGTTGATTTACTTTTTGATGAAGAGGGACCTGGGGAATCCCAGATTTTGGCAGAACTAGGGCTGGGCATGGGGGAAAAATTAACTTTTCTGGGAGTAGGACTTGGTGTTAAGGGCATGTTTATCCTCACAAAGTCCTCTGCTGTATCCTCAAGAGTTCTTGCTGGTATCTCTAAAGCAAGATCTTGTCGTCTCCCAAGTTGAGTGGGCGAGGTTACCTCAACTATTTCAGTTGAATTTCCAGCCTGTGAATGGCAAAAAGTTGATCACCAGTTAGCAGCAATACAAAGATTAACCTTCTGTAACGTAATCAACTAATCTCCTTGTCGAAGCAAAACTACAAACAACCATAAAAACTCACCATGTCCAACAACTTATGAATTATTAAGAAAAAAAAATGGAGAATGAGCATTGATCAATCACATCCAACAGGCATTTATAAGTCAGCAAAAGGTCTGCAAGGACAAAGGGATAGGATGTAGATTGAGGTGGCCAGGATAGACATGCAGGCAAAAGATTTGATGGACCATGTTAACAATAAAAGACAATGTTACCATCGTAATATATGGTATAACTTATTTCTTCATATGTATGATTATATACTAGTTTTATGTTCTTGTAATGTTTATGTAGGAAATTGTTTAAATGGATAGACATAACATCAGTACAAAATAAGAAAGTAAAACTTGTATGCCAAGACTTTATTAATATGATGAAGGCTTTGAAACATGGTTTATTCACAGTGAATTCAAGATTTGACCAAAGGGATCAAACAGATTTTGTTTGCTCGGCATGATACTTAAAATCAAGAGATGCAAATAAACAAAAAATTGATGTGAATGTTGAGTTTCCTTTTCTTAACATCAAAACTGGTTTAGATGAGTCAACTCAGAGAGTTAAACATCACCCTCCCAAAAGTCAAAGACACAGCATTGGCAGATTTGGGCCCTCTAGCTTAATTCTCTAAAGGGTATTGTCTAAATGGTGGGAAGGAGCTAAATCAATTTTGCCTTGCCTGAGATTGAACTTTGTTTACTTGTTTCGTAACCAAATAACTGAAGATTTAGCTATGTGATTAATGAAATCTCAAGCTTTAACCTTAGAATCTGTTCACCAAAGAGAAGAAGCAAAAGAATTCTATGTTCCAGGGGTAGTCTTTCTATATTCTTAAAGCGAAAAATTGAAAACCAGTCAGTAAAAAGAGGGAGAAGGAAATTAATTTGCTATAAAAAGAACAATCAAAACAATTCAGCAAAACACAAAGCTAAAGTCACAAATTTGACTACAAAAGCCATAAAAACTGAAACTAAAAATTAAAACTGAAGCAAAGACTAAAGAAAGAGAGTTATGTAAAGACAAAAATTAAGTACCCTTTGAACCAGATGATCAGAAGTAACGCTGCGAGCTCCTTCATCATCATTCTCTTTTACAACTGGCTCTTCTTCATTTCCCATATTCGCAAAAAGAAAATAAATCCCAAAGGCCAAAAATAGTATGGCTTAAACGACAGTAAATTTCATCAATTCAGCCAAAAAAAAAAAAAAAAAAAAAAAATACAAACAAACAAACAAACTAAGCTTCTAGAGAGCAGAGAAGCGGAAAAGTTCAAGGGAGGGAAAGTACAAAGAGAGAGAGATACGTGCACAACCTCCAACTGACAAAGAGAGGTGGCAAATGACAAAGACAAAGACAAAGTACAAACACAGAGAAAGAAAAACAAGGCGAGTTTGTACTTTGTAACTTATTTTGTCCCAATTGTTTACAAATAAATTTATGGGTAAGCTATTTAACCCTTTTATTTGATGAGGTGATATTTCTTATGTCATATGAGGTTTCCTCTTTTTAATTTGTAATTTCTTTTCTTATTTCAATATACAATAACAAAATTCTCTTTCAATTTATTATAGGTTTTTATATGGACCCCACTAAGGTTTTGTGAAAGAACAAGGAGTCTCGTAAGTTTCACAATATAAAATATATGCCCTTATATTTTAAAAATGGAATATTTACAACCTTGTAATTAAATGATATTTGTAAAAACTAAACTATTAACGAGTAAAATAGACAATGATCACTTCCTCTGTAGTCTCAGGTTCGAAACTTCGAATCACAAGAACAGTTGTTAATATTGTTGGTCACAGACTGCAAGACTTGTCCTGTTTCAGAAGCCTTATTCGAGATCAAAAGACTAATCAAGGTGTGTGTAAGCTAGCTTGGACACCCTCGATAACAAAAAAGAAGAAAAAAATAGACAATGATATATATATATATATATATATAAGGTTTTTATTTCCCAAATGTCTTATTGAATTGTTAAATTTAATATATTTGGCTATGTTTGGCTTATTATTTTTATCCCTATTCCCAACCCTATTCTCCAAATAATGTTTGGCACATTATTCCAGAAATATTACCCTATTTTTTAATTACTTTTAGACCCCATAAAGTTATTAATTTCACAAATACACCCTGAAAAAAAAGTTTAAAAATTATTAAAAACACCCCCGCGACCCATACTTGCCAGATTCCAGCAACCACCATCGGCAGTAGCCAGAATCTGTACAACGGCCTTCCTGACTTCCATAAATGGTCGAAAGTTCACCTATCTGGCCATGGATCTGGCCGAAAAAGGCCAGATCTGGCCGTGAACGACGGCCAAAGAAATGGCCGTCGTTGAGGTCAACGACAGCCAAATCTTGGCCATCATTGACCGAAAACGATGGCCATATCTTTGGCCGTCACTGACGGCTAAAGATGGCCATCATTTTGGCCTTTTTCGGCCATCGACGGCCACGACAGGCCTTAGATCTGGCCTTTTCCGGTCAGATCCGTGGTGGATCTGGCCGGAAAAGGCCATAACGACGCGTTACGACACAGATCCGACCGGTCTGTGTCGTAACGCGATTTTTTGGCCAGATTTCGACGGTGGTGGTCGGAATCTGGCACTGCAGGTGGTGGAGGTATTTTTGTCATTTTACATGTTGGGGTATTTATTAAATTAGCAAACTTAGGAAGTTTTTTTATAAATTTTTAAATTTTACCTCGTAATACTCCCATATTCAATTATCCAATACTATCCCCAAAATTCTATCCAAAATAATAAACCAAACGCACCTTTTGATATTTTGGTCATGCGACAAATGTTAGATATTAAAGAAAAGACAAAATAAACGTATATTAGTCATTATACCAAAATTATGTATCCAAATTAACTTTTAACAAAGTGTTTGTCAATCAATTTATAAAGATGCAAGTGTTTCATCCTGAAACTATTAAGCGTGTAAGCGTTCCATTCCAAAACTTACAAGTTTTCTCTTTGTTTCACTAAACCTTAGGGGTGTCCATATGAAAACCTCGTATAATAATATCAATCAGTTTCATGCTAATTCTCTTTCTCAATTATAAAAAGACAATGTCAATGGTTGGTTGGAAAATAAAATTAAAATAAAGTTTTTTGAAATTCAACGAAATATTAAGTGTTGTTTCTTGGTAATTTCGATTATAATTGGGTGGCTATTAGCCAACTGAAAAAATAGACAGGCATTATCTTTAAAAAATGACTCATTCCTAATTTAGGCAACCGTGTTTTTTCTAATATAATCATACCCAATTTGATTTATGAGTTGAATATACACTTCGCTTAAGTACTATTTTAATTTTAATTACATACTATTAGTCAAATTATTTCAATATTTAGTCAACAATCAACATTAATCCACTTTCTCACTCAACTTCAATTTCCTTTCACCAACTAATGAAATTCATGAGTTGATTAAAAAATTATTCTCTGACCATTGAAATTTTAAGGGTTTTGATTCATGAATAATTAAATTGTGTGATACATCTTGGCATGTACAATTCAAAATGAACCTATTTGGGAATCCGATATAAAGTTTCACTTGAAAATTCATGGATATATCCTTCAATCCATTAAGAAAATTTTATAGAAAACGAGAAGAGATTTCCTTTTTCATTATGGAAATTTTGATAAGAGATTTGGTGTTGGTGTTGCATCCCAAGTGCAATTACAATTCACTCATATAATGTTGTCGTTTAAACTTTGCTCCTTGTGGGGAGAATTTACCATCCTCAAGAAACCATTATGAATTAATATAATCCATCAATCAAATAAATTTATTTAAAGAATGATGCTATTCATCCTCATATTTCATCTTTTTAGATCCCAATTATTATTAATTATTAATTATAATTTTATCCTTTATTAAAATTACTAAATAAGATATATAAGAGTTATAAGTAACTTACAATTTCATTATTTCCTCTTTTAATCATAAACCATAATTCTGTTTCTAACCAATGGACGAAACTTATACAATTGAAAGAGTCTGATCAAGATCATGTAAGTGCTATTTTTTTATTTTTTTTGTTATTTTCCTTTACTTTTTTCTAGGGGTGTTCGGTTCCGGGTACCCTGCACTTTTTGAAGAAACCAGAATAGGAACCGGAATCGACGGTTCCTTGAAATTTGGAACCAGAACTGGAACCAGAACTGGAACCGACTATTCCGGTTCCTAGGTACCCAGAACCAGAACCTGTAACAACGGTTTCAGTTTCGGTTCTGGGTACCCTGTAAAATCACAATGACCCCCCAAAAGTTTTTAAAATGGCAAAAAAATCCTTAAAAACTTAGAAATACCCCCCCTCCCCCTCCCCCCTACCTGGCACTTGTTAACAAAAATAAAATTACAAACTATAAATTCAAAATTACAAACTTCATTACTTTGTAAAGGTAGATTCTTAAAAGTCAAACCAACTTACTTTAAATGTTATGAAATATAAATATAAATGTATTCACATTATTTTTTCTACAAAAGCTTTTATTAACCCCCCTAATCTTTAATTTTATTTTATATTAGTCTCGGTTCCTGGTTCCTGGTTCTGGTTCTGGTTCCTAACTATAGGAACCGGAACCGAAACCGCACAGTAACGGTTCCAAAAATTTGGAACCGAAACCTATCCATTGACGATTGGTTTTCGGTAGGAACGGGAACCAAACCCAGGGTACCTACCGGTTTCGGTTTCAACCGGTTCTTTTAAACACCCCTACTTTTTTCTTCTTCCGTACTTCTCCAAAAATATATAAATTAGTTTGATATATTCAAATTTCTTAATTATTATTCTTACAATATTGGAAGTGAAAATACATGTGAATGGATTTTCTATCCCTGAACAATACAAAAAGCATAAAAAAAATATTGAAAGTATAAATAAAATGGTATTTTTGAAAGTATTTAGGGTTTATAAAGACATTTACATATATTAAAATATTTTAAAGGGGTAAACTTAGAAATGGGTTCTTGCAAGATAAAATATGGAGCTATCACTCTTATTTAAACCTATATCCTAGCAGTTGGATAAGCATTAAGATGTAAAATTAATCTTGATATTGGAAATGGAAAGAACGTGAACTGTATTAAAACTAAAACTTGTAACATAAATCATGGAGATTAATAACTAAAATTCTGAAACTGGTAATTTAAAAACAGTGGTGGATCAGGATAAGCGTGTAAGCAGGCGAATGCAGTGCATGTATGACATTAAATAATACCAACTAAGTTTCATTCACGAAATGAATTCTGTATTTAATTAGCTGCATAATTTCTACTATGGGATAATAAGCTTGTTCATAAAGCTATAAAAAATCACCTCATCACTAACTCTTTTTCTCTTCTCTTTGTCTCTTTCAACCCAAGATACAAAACCAAATACAAGTTTTTATTATTTAACCAACTTAACGTGGAGGTCAAGGAGAAACCCAAAAAAAAATTAAAAAAGAAAACTCTATTTTAAGCAGTTTCAAATAATGCCCAGATGGAGTTTTTAAGTGTTAAATTTGATTAGCTTCTAATATAAAAAGTTAAATAGTTAAAGAGCAGAATGAAAGCAGAAAGATTCAGGATCAGATTCACCACTATAGTTTATAAAATTAATAAAAAGTAAGTCAACCTTATAATAAAAAAAAGAATAATGTAACGGTTGAAATTTAAGCAACATTTTAAAATGTTAATGTAAAATGACAATATGCAACCCAAGTTATTCACTGGAATGTTGATGCAAGCTTCCCTTTTTTTCTATTTTCCAGATGCTGGTTTGACAATGACCCATAATATGAAACTCACCATTTGTTAAGATGCTCCTTTCATTGGCATTAATTTATAAGTTTTGAGCAAACGCTAGAATGCAGTCCAGAAACATTTAATAATCGGTTAATAAACAGTTGAAATTTCTTTAATGAAAGAAGAAAAATTTTAATATACTTGGGAAGGACGATGATGCTGGGTGTTGAAATAAAATAGAAATGAAATTGAAGTCGAAAAATGAGAAGTGGGAATCAGAGAGCACATTGAGTGTCTAATATTGAAGGAGATCTAGTCAAATAAGGTTACAAAATCTATAATTAAAGTTAGAATAAGGTGCTGTGTCTTATCTTACGATTATTGAAGAGTGCTCATCTGGGTGTGATTTCATCTGAAACAGAAATACCCTACCATAATTATTATTATAGTACACTTTCTTCCTTTTATATAGTATGTTGATTAGGTATAACACTAAATGAATTTAAGACAATTGAGATGACATATATTCTTAACATAAGAAGATAATTTATATACATTGTATAATGTAACAATGAAATATTGTTTGTATATAAAATATTTATT